CTGAGGATCCCCTGTGCAAGTCGCTTTCAAACTCTACATACTTTGATTCCCAAAAACAAATATAATAGAAGAAACAGCCAATATAACATTACATTATAGTTCAATTAATTATCCTTCATAATAATAAATTTTTATAAGAAAATAAAAGCAATATAGATGTAACAACTATTCAACATGAGTAGCAATATTTGTTTCCAATAATATTCGCAAAAATTAAAACGCTTTCCCTTGTACATTTTGTTCAGATAAAAAATGACGAAATTGTTAATGACTGACAGACCAAAGCCACTGTGTTTTTAAAACTTTCCTCGCTGTCAAGTTAACGAATATAAGAAAATAATATCAATAACTAGTGTTGATGATGTTCCTTTTGTCGATGGAAAAACTGGGTAGAGTTAAAATTTAAAAACTGGTTAGCTTCAGAGATCAACAGCCAAATGAAAATTTACACCATAGACACGTTACATTTTCACTACTAAAACAATTATTATATTGAATTTAGAGTAAGAATAGAAAGGAAAACAAAATTTAAATATTGAAACAAACTTTAATAAAAAAAGAAACAACCTTTCATTAAATCTTCACATATATAATAATCGATTCTTTCCCTAGTTTAGTTTAGAAAAATTACGCCAAATTTTGTTTCTATGTTATAGAAAAATAAATCGGTTTAGTTTTAACAAAAGGTCATACAACTGAGTGGCAGATAAATATTTAAAAAATGTTTCCTAGTCAAGTTTTGCAGCCACTAATAATTTGAATCTGGTTATTTCATTTAGTTCCCTTCATTATTATTATCCTCTTTTAGATATTCCTCAGAGGTTGTGAGTTAAATGCTTTACTGAACAAGTGCGTCTTCAGTTCCTGTTTGAATTTTGTATTGACTTCTTACATATTTTTTTACTATGCAACACACAAATTTATGAACTGAATAAATAACAAAATAACAAAAACACACATAAACAAACAAACTCATGTGCACATACACGCATGCACACAAACGCGAGAGCCTAAAAATAATTTCTCAAAAAAGTAA